AAAGACTCCTCGCAATGTTCGAGTTATAGGCCCATTTCACTGTTGAATTTAGACACTAAGATATATGCAAAGGTCCTAGCGAATAGGTTGAAGGAGTTTATGCCTGAATGGATACATGGAGATCAGGTGGGCTTTGTCCCAGGAAGAGAGGGCAGGGACAATGGGTTGAGATCCCTGATGCTGATACAGAGAGGTAAAAAGGGGGAGGTATCGGTGGTGGCCCTTTCAGTCGACCCAGAAAAGGCCTTCAATAGAGTAGACTGGGGCTTCATGATGGACACCTTAGAAGCCCTGGGAATTGGAGGTAGAATGAGGGAATGCATTGGAAAACTGTACAGTAAACCCTCTGCAGTGGTAATAGTAAATGGGGAAAAAACAGAGCCCATTGGGATGTCAAATGGAACAAGGCAGGGCTGCCCTTTGTCCCCTTATTATATGTTTTGTCATTAGAGCCTCTCTTATCAACAATAAGGAAAAATGGAGATATAAGGGGAATTCAGATAGGAAGTGTAGAACATAAAGTGGCAGCTTTTGCTGATGATCTGCTGTTTTATGTGGGGAATCCCAGGATAACACTCCCAAATCTAATGAAGCTGCTGAAGGAATACGGAGAATTATCAAATTTAAAAATTAATCCAACAACAAAAACGGAGATCTTAAACATAAATATCCCAAAGAGTGAACAAGAGAAAATACAAGAAGAATTTCCCTTTATTTGGAAAGAAAGAGATATAAAATACCTGGGAGTAAGGCTCAGCGCGTCGTATAAAACCTTGTATAAGCTAAACTATATTTCATTACTAAATGAAGTAAAGGGGGAATTAAAAACATTAGAGAGAGGAATTCCATCGTGGTTAGGACATATAAACCTGGTAAAAATGATAATCGTACCAAAAATTTTATACAGATTCCAAATGATACCAATTAAACTCCCGGAAGCTTTTTTCAAAGTAATAAAAAGAATGATAATGGGATATATCTGGAGGAAGAAAAAACCGAGGGTGTCCCACGAAATACTAAGTAGAGATAAAGAGAAGGGAGGTTTTGGGAGTTCCAGATATAAAGAGATATTATAAAGCAGTAATATTAGGGAGAATTTTTGATTGACGTTCAATTCAGAGGGGAAGAGTTGGTAAAAATTGAGAATACACTTAGTGGAACTAATTTGAATAGAATAATATGGATACCGACACAATACAGAGGATTAAGGGAGGATTTAAGTTTGTACACTGTAAATGTATTAAGGGAATGGGATAAAATACACAAAAATATGAAATGGGAATTTAATTCTATACTTATGCCACTAAGAAACACAGAATTTTTTACACCAGGTAGAGAAGAGATAACAGGTAGATGGTTTATAAAGGAGGATGTCCAACTCAGAGATATAAAGGGGGATGGGAAATTGAAGACCTTTAAAGAGTTGGAAAAGGAAAAGGGAAACATCTTCACTAGGCTAGACGAGTGGCGTTATTATCAACTAAAATGTTTTTGGGGAAATCTCCCCAAAACCCCTGAGAACCAAAAAGGATTGGAATTTGTCTGAAAGGTTGTTAGATGCACGGGGTGATGGGAAACACGGAATAGCTAAAGTATATGGAATTCCACAGATCTGGACACAAACACTAAACCATTGCACATTGTGAATGGGAAAGAGATATGGGGGTGGTATTAGATGAAGGAAAACAGAAAAAAATAAATAGATTAGTTCACGGAAATGTAAGCTTGAGGGATGTGGAATTAAATTATAAATGTTTGACAAGATGGCACATTGTTCCGAGTGTGGAGGGTAAGATAAGTGCGGAGAAATCACAGTGGTGTTGGCGAGAGTGTGGGGAAGTGGGGACAGTTTATCACATTTGGTGGGAATGTCCAAAGATTCAAATATTCTGGAAAAAAATAATATATTTAATAGAGAACATCATTGAAATGAACATCGGGTTAGATCCTGGGATGTGCCTGTTACACAGTTCAGAGATATCAATTAGTAAATATAAGAAAATTAGGTTTGGGGTACTACTTTAACGCAGCAAAAAGCCTGATCCCCAAGTAATGGAAGAAAAAAGAAATACCGAAAGAGGAGGAGTGGATAGAGAGAGTAAACTGGACTAAGGAGATGGAGAAGACATATTATATACAGGAAGATAAGATAGAATTATATCTCGCAAAATGGGAAAAATGTGAAAATTTTGTAACAAGTATGAGAAAGTGATAAGTAGAACGTCATAGAGAAACAACTGGGAAGGATATGCTTGCTTTGGATACAAGACAAGGAAAAGCAGAGTGGAGATGGATGTCAGGGCTCCCAGGTGAGACCAGAGGTGTGTGGCTGACGCAGGGAAACGCAGACCTCAGATATGTTATAAACAATATAATTTATTAACACTAACAATACAAACATAAACGCAGTGCAATACTAAAACATAATACAGTGCAACCAAACCAAACCAAACCAACCACCCACAGATAACAGTACATACAAGCAAGCGTCGTCAGGCAGGCCGGGTCAATATCAATAGGGCAGGTAGGTACAGGGGGAGCAAGCGGAGATTGGTCGGGGTCACAGGCCAGGTTCAGCAGGTAGCAAGCAGCGTAGTACAGAGGGTCAGGCAGAGGGATGGTCAGGGTCACAAGCCAGGGATCAGAACAGGTAGCAAGCAGCGTGGTGCAGAGGGATGGTCAGGAGCAGGAGAAGTCAGCAGCGGTTCAGAAACAGGATGCAGGACAGAAACAGGATACAGGGCCCAGGACAAACACAACACCAAGGCAGAGTCTGTGGGTCTGGCCATCCCTTAAATACCCCAGCATAATCAGTTCCAGGTGTTAACTGGCTGCAAAGTTGAGTCTCTGATTGCTGGGAGCATCCGCTGGCCAGCCCTGGTACTGCAGATCAAAAGGCAGGTGAGTCCCACCATTGCTGGCCAGTCCATTCCTGACAGTACCCCCCCCTCAAGGAGCGGCGGCCTCAGGACGCTCCAAACAGTCCTAGCTGGGAAAAATGTTCCACCGCCCGGGTCTGGTAACTGGCGGGATATCAAAGACTGGCACACCGGGCAGGACTCCGGGCAGCGGTACACCGGGCAGAGGCACATCGGGCTGGACTCCGGGCAGAGGCACACCGGGCAGAGGCACACCGGGCTGGACTCCGAGCAGAGGCACAGCGGGCAGAGGCACATCGGGCTGGACTCCGGGCAGAGGCACACCGGGCTGGACTCCGGGCAGAGGCACACCGGGCTGGACTCCGGGCAGAGGCACACCGGGCTGGACTCCGGGCAGAGGCACACAGGGCTGGACTCCGGGCAGAGGCACACCGGGCTGGACTCCGGGCAGAGGCACACCGGGCTGGACTCCGGGCAGAGGCACACCGGGCTGGACTCCGGGCAGAGGCACACCGGGCTGGACTCCGGGCAGAGGCACACCGGGCTGGACTCCGGGCAGAGGCACACCGGGCTGGACTCCGGGCAGAGGCACATCGGGCTGGACTCCGGGCAGAGGCACATCGGGCAGAGGCACATCGGGCAGAGGCACATCGGGCAGAGGCACATCGGGCTGGACTCCGGGCAGAGGCACACCGGGCAGAGGCACATCGGGCAGAGGCACATCGGGCTGGACTCGGGCAGAGGCACATCGGGCAGGACTCCGGGCAGAGGCACATCGGGCTACCAGGAGAAGAAGCAGGCAGCGGGCCACCGGGCGGAGCAGCAGGCACCGGGCCCCCGGGTGGAGCGGCAGGCACCGGGCCCCCGGGCGGGAGCGGCAGGCACCGGGCCCCCGGGTGGAGCGGCAGGCATCGGGCCCCCAGGTGGGGCGACAGGCCTCGGGCCCCCAGGCGGGGCTGCAGGCACCGGGCCCCCAGGCGGGGCGGCAGGCACCGGGCCCCCGGGCAAGGCGACAGGCACCGGGCCCCCGGGCGGGGCGACAGGCACCGGGCCCCCGGGCGGGGCGACAGGCACCGGGCCCCCAGGCGGGGCGGCAGGCCTCGGGGCCCCCGGGCGGGGCGACAGGCCTCGGGCCCCCGGGCGGAGCGGCGGGCGCCGGACCCCCAGGCGGAACTACAGGTCTTGGGCCCTCAGGCGGAGCGGCGGGCGCCGGACCCCCAGATGGAGCGACAGGTCTCGGGCCCTCAGGCGGAGCGGCGGGCGCCGGACCCCCAGATGGAGCAACAGGTCTCGGGCCCTCAGGCGGGGCGACAGGCGTCGGGCCCCCAGGCGGGGCGACAGGCATCGGGCCCCCAGGCGGGGCGACAGGCATCGGGCCCCCAGGCGGGGCGGCAGGCATCGGGCCCCCAGGCGGAGCGGCGGGGCGCCGGACCCCCAGGCGGAGCGGTGGGCGCCGGACCCCCAGGCGGAGCGGCGGGCGCCGGACCCCCAGGCGGGGCTACAGGTCTCGGGCCCTCAGGCGGAGCGGCGGGGCGCCGGACCCCCAGATGGAGCGACAGGTCTCGGCCCTCAGGCGGAGCGGCGGGCGCCGGACCCCCAGATGGAGCGACAGGTCTCGGGCCCTCAGGCGGAGCGGCGGGCGCCGGACCCCCAGATGGAGCGACAGGTCTCGGGCCCTCAGGCGGAGCATCAGGTCTCGGGCCCCCAGGCGAAGCGGCGGGCACAGAGTCACCAGGCACGACAGGGGCACCGAGTCGTCTGGCAAGACTGCGGGCACCGAGTCGTCTGGCAAGACTGCGGGCACCGAGTCGTCTGGCAAGACTGCGGGCACCGAGTCGTCTGGCAAGACTGCGGGCACCGAGTCGTTTGGCAAGACTGCGGGCACCGAGTCGTCTGGCAAGACTGCGGGCACCGAGTCGTCTGGCAAGACTGCGGGCACCGAGTCGTCTGGCAAGACTGCGGGCACCGAGTCGTCTGGCGGGACTGCGGGCATCGAGTCAACTGGCGGGACTGCGGGCACCGAGTCAACTGGCGGGACTGCGGGCACCGAGTCGTCTGGCAAGACTGCGGGCACCGAGTCATCTGGCAAGACTGCGGGCACCGAGTCGTCTGGCAAGACTGCGGGCACCGAGTCGTCTGGCAAGACTGCGGGCACCGAGTCGTCTGGCAAGACTGCGGGCACCGAGTCGACTGGCGGAACAGCGGGCACGAGTCGTCTGGCAAGACAGTGGGTCCGAGTCAACAGGCACGACAGTGGGCACCGGGTCATCAGGTATCGGATTGTCTGGCTCGACAGCGGGCATCGGGTCACCAGGTATGACAGCGGGCACTGGGTCACCAGGCATCAGGTCATTTGGCTTGCCAGCGGGCACCGCGTCATCTGGCAAGGCAGTGGGCACCGGGTCACCAGGTATGACAGCGGGCTCTGAGTCAATTGGCACGACAGCGGGCACTGGATCAGGTACCGGATCATCTGGATCAACAGCAGGCATCGAGTCAACTGGCCTAATAGGATCGTCGGGCTGGATCAGTTCATCATGCTGAGTAGCGGCATCAGCTGAATGCAGGCATCAGGCTGAGTAGAGGCTTCAGGCTGAGTAGAGGCTTCAGGCTGAGTAGAGGCTTCAGGCTGAGTAGAGGCTTCAGGCTGAGTAGAGGCTTCAGGCTGAAGAGAGGCTTCAGGCTGAGTAGAGGCTTCAGGCTGAAGAGAGGCTTCAGGCCGAGTAGAGGCTTCAGGCCGAGTAGAGGCATCAGGCTGAGTAGAGGCTTCAGGCTGAACCACGGAAGGCAGGTTCACCGGTTTTTGGATACTGGCAGGATGGTATTGGTTGGAAAGAATTTTTGCTTTTTTCTGGTTTTTAACTACTGGAGCACTGCAAGTAAACGCAGGTCTGCAAACGAATGGAGCAGCTGGAGACAGAGAAAAACTGGAGGATGGAACAGGAGAGGGAGCAGTTGCTACAGAGGGCTTTTTTACAGGGTTAAAGGCAGGATAGGTGCAGCGAGTGGGAACAGGGGACTGACATGCGGTAGATAGCCAAGTATACTGGGCTGTAACTGGAGGAGCTGGTGGGAATACAGGAGTAGAGTTAGAAGCAGGACTGGGTTTTTGTAAGCTGACTGAGGCTGGGTGCAACAAGTCTGTCCATGTCTGCAGTAGGGGTTAAACAAAGCTGAGCTTACACAAAGCCTGTCTGGTCAATGACTGCACTGCGTTTATACAATCTCTTAGTGTCTGTGGTGAACATGTGGAATAACGCTCCAGAAAGTAACCCACATCATCCTCTAATAACCACACCAGGGACTCTACCTGGTCTGCACTAAATGGTGGTAAAAATTCATCCCTGCATTCGGGGGAACCAGATGAAACCAACTCAGCACAAACCTCAATCAAAGGCTGCACCTCAGAGAACTCTGTGCCCTGATCTACTAGAACATGAGCGAGCCGTATACATTCTAGTAGTTGATCCCTGGGATACTCCTTCAGAGTTTGATAAGCATACTCCCTGTCATCAAACACTAGCAGATATAAATACACAACCTCATCCAGATCCATCCTTCCCAGCAACAAGCCAAGATGGCTTCCCTGTGCAGCCACTTCTGGTCAGGATTTGGCCTTGGTGTAATGTCAGGGCTCCCAGGTGAGACCAGAGGTCTGTGGCTGATGCAGGGAAACGCAGACCTCAGATATGTTATAAACAATATAATTTATTAACACTAACAATACAAACATAAACGCAGTGCAATACTAAAACATAATACAGTGCAACCAAACCAAACCAAACCAACCACCCACAGATAACAGTACATACAAGCAAGCGTCGTCAGGCAGGCCGGGTCAATATCAATAGGGCAGGTAGGTACAGGGGGAGCAAGCGGAGATTGGTCGGGGTCACAGGCCAGGTTCAGCAGGTAGCAAGCAGCGTAGTACAGAGGGTCAGGCAGAGGGATGGTCAGGGTCACAAGCCAGGGATCAGAACAGGTAGCAAGCAGCGTGGTGCAGGGATGGTCAGGAGCGAGCCAGGATCAGAGCAGGAGAAGTCAGCAGCGGTTTCAGAAACAGGATGCAGGACAGAAACAGGATACAGGGCCCAGGACAAACACAACACCAAGGCAGAGTCTGTGGGTCTGGCCATCCCTTAAATACCCCAGCATAATCATTTCCAGGTGTTAGCTGGCTGCAAAGTTGAGTCTCTGATTGCTGGGAGCATCCGCTGGCCAGCCCTGGTACTGCAGATCAAAAGGCAGGTGAGTCCCACCTGGCCAGTCCATTCCTGACAATGGAATTTAATATACAGGACTGCCTATTATGCTACACTCAATTTCTAAATGTACAGAGACTAAAAACCCCCATAAAAAGACAAAAGATTCTTAAGGAAATCCATCAGTACTCTGCAAGTGTGGTATTTACACAAAAGACACATATCTCATATGATACAAAGATTAAATTGTATTCAAAACAATAACCAACATGGTATTATGGTGACTCATCAATGAAATGAGCAAGAGCGGTATCTATAGGCATGGCAAAGGATGTAAGATTTATTGTGAAAGATCGGATGGCTGATCCACAAGGCAGGTTTCTGTTCCTGAAGGGGAGGTTGTATGATATTGAATGCACATTGGCTAATATTTATTGCCCTAATAAGAATTTTAATGATCAACCTAAAAAAGCCATGGAAAAACGTATGGAGTTTAAGATGGGTAAATTGATTGTGGCAGGGGACTTTAGCTTCTGCAAGGATGCTCAGCTGGTTACTTCATTATATGCACAGAGGATTAAATTTTATCAACTTCAACATCCCAGAGTAAGGGACTATATGTTTTATTCCACTGTGCATGGGACATACTCTAGAAGAGAGTTTTAATGGTAAAACATAGACTGTTGGAGTCATTAATAAAAAACATCCATTGAAGCTATTACATTATCAGATCATGCCCCAGAGCTAATGAAGATGAACATAATAGAGGTACAGAATAGGAAACGCACATGGAGATTAAACGAGGCACTTATATAAGGTCAGGAGATAGAAAAAAGAATAAGGAGGGAAATAGAGCAATATTTCCTGTTAAATAAAACTTAGGAAATGTCAAACGCCACAATATGGAAGGCCCCTTAAGGCTTATATTGGGGGCATCTTGATTTTCTATTGGGGTTAAAAAAAAAAAAGAACGGACAAATAAAATAAAAATGCTATTTAAAGAATAATATGAGTTAGAGCAACTACATAAAAAGAAATCAGATCTAGTTATACAACACTTATTAGAGTTAAAAAAAGAAATTAGTTTAATACCTTAACCTCCCTAGCAGTCTGATTATGTTAGTATTTCCTGTGCTCAAAGCGGTACATTTTTTTTGCATGGAAATATGTTGTTTTTTTATTGTAGAGATGGCCCACAGAGTCCTACCTGTGAAGAGGGGGTCTCGACTGAGGAGTAAGGGCTCAAGGAGAGGTCATCGAGTGTCTGCGGGAGGTTGCGAAACGGTGCCAGCTGGGGGAGGAGGACAGAGCACAATGGTGTCCGCTGCAGGGGGGCTGCGGGCTCTGTCCGAGCAGCGGTGTTGCCTTGAACTGGAGACCGCAGAGAGCAGCCACGTGACCTCCCGCAAGGAAGCACTGGAAGAGGAGAAAGCCAGCCCCCGTTCCCAAAAAGGCCATGGAGGGAGACCCCAGTTCTCCCCCTGATTACACGGGCCTGTACGATCAGGGACTGGACCCCACCAGGTGAATCTCTCCCCGAAGTAAAAAAGAAAAAAGGAGCAAGTAGTTTTATAAGCGGGAGGGGCTGTTGAAAATCACAGCTCCCAGGTAGAAGGAAGAGCCTGATGCCACCTCACACAAGAAAGAAGACTGCAGGAGGGTGAGGTAGGCAAGGCATAATGTATTGCATGAAATGAACTCGACAAGTAAGGTGAAATTAAAGGGGAGGTCAACCATGCGGGTCTAGAAGAAAAAGAGAACAAAGTGATATAGTACAGGTCCCCCAGAAGATATAAGAATGTAACAGAGGGAGAATTTAAAGTGATAATACGGGACAGTAAAATAATTAACCCCTCCTAGAGCCTGGATAAGTGAAAACTAAGTCTTTGACGGCCATGAAAAATAAAGTGGCCAAAAGGAGGTGCGTCAAAAGGTTCTCAAACAGTACGAATAAAAAATTAATATACCTTCACAGGGAATCTGAGCCCCATAAAGACAAACAGGAATATGTGAACAAGGAGTGAGTTGGAAATCAGTTA